GTTACCCACAACTAACACAAAAAGAATAACTTAACTTTTATCTCACAATTAACTATTTAACTTGTTAAAACAATACCTTCATATGAGTTTTTATTCTTCAGTTTTGTTTCTGAATTGTCAAAAATGGGACTCCACAGGTTAGATGTAGCTTTGTACTCCTGGTTTTTTTTTTAAGACAAATTTCTTCCTTTAATGACTTGAATCTAATAAAATTGTCTATAATGTCCTTGATAACGAAGGAAAATACTGGTTCTTGCATGATTTTAACACGACACATCAGACATACTTGTTTTTTTTCAAACTAACAATTACTGTATAATCTCAGTATATTATAAATTATCAATTTAATTTGTCAAATATTAAAATTACAACGTACCTATTCATAAAGGCAGTGATAGCAAAAAGTATGACCACATGAAGTGGTACAAGGATTTGACATATATTCAAGGCATATATTGCACTTTAATTCAAACTTATTTATCGTGACTTCTAGCCCTTCTATAATCTGTTCCCTAACAAGTAATTCATTATTTAATACTTCATTTTCCTTCTTAAGTTGCCTGATCTCATCAATGTATTTCATTATAAGTCATATGATTTCTTTAATTTTAATATGATCATTCTGCAGCAAAAATTTAGAAGCATTTTATTACTTTAAAATAATTCGAATGATACATTTAATTATTTAACAAGAATTTATCATAAAGTATTATTTATTTTAAAAAACAGTTCAAAAATCAATTCAATACTGCCGATTTGACCAAATGATTGATGCTGAATATGAAGGTTTTCAATTGTTTTATATTTATTGAATTTTTCTTTCTCACTTATTGTGGCTTGAATGGATTATTTTGATATTGAGCTCCTCATTTAAATCCCTAACGCTAATAGCTACTAAAATCCACATATATCCTTTTTATTATAAATACTAAACTTAATTTTTAACCTAACTTTGTTGGTTCGGAAATCGGTAAGTCTGTCGCTATTCTAACCCAACTCTCACGTAACCTACGGCTAAGTTGAAATAGGCGTATTAGTGTTGGCTGGGTTCTTGTCCGTAGGTAAGTACTTCTTGAGTCTTTCTTTCAATCTATTCTTTCACTAACTCTTGTCTTCTTCTATGCCTCAATCTGGGTTACACTACATCGAATCGGGTTTGGAACTCTTCTATTTATGTCACTGATCTTCTGATCACGCGACAAAGGTAAGCAATCAATTGCGGTTTTAGTTGTTCTTGGGCGAACTGGTAGGATAGCACTTTCACTTTTATTGTAGGTCGGATATTTATTTTTATTTTTGCAATTGTAATTACTTGGGAGTCTGTCTGTCTTTTGTGGCAGAAATGCCCTTTATTTATAATAAACGATTTATTTACATTTGAGGATAATTTTCTCTACATTACTTATTTACAATATATCATTGGTAAAACCCTAAGATCACATCGATATGCCCAAATTAACAAATGTAAAAAGAGTAATACAGTAATAGAGGTAAGAAAAGTAAACTTTCTTTTACTTTTCATGTGACCAATTTCTCGACAGTCGGTCATGTGCATCTATGATAACTCAAAAAAGGACTAAATTTGTAATTTCAAGAATAAAATAAATCAAATTTTAATCTCACTAGTGATGTGCCGCGTATAGTACAGTACGCAAAAAATTTTTTAGAATATTCTAGAACAAATTATAAAATCATTCATATCTCAAAAGTTTCCTTATGAAACCACCTTTGTATTCTAAGTAAAATTATTCCTTGCGAAATTTTGCATATAGATGGTTTATATATAATACGTGTACTATACATATTGCACATGCTATACACACTATATGCACTATACGTACTGTACGTTAAAAAAATCTGGATATCATATAAATGGCACATCACTAATCTCAACACAAGATGACACAATAAGTC